ATGTTAGGTTATATTGCACAGTTGACCTTAAGACAGGGAGATTATCCAGTGGCCTGATCTAATCACACAAGCTCTTCTTAGAAACAGAGAGCTTTCTTCAGCTGCTTGCAGAAGGAGAAGCCAGATAGATTCGAAGCCTGAGAAGAATTCAATGAACCACTGCTGGCTTTGAAGACAGAGGCGGCCACCTGCAACATAAAAAGGCCTCTTGGGGCTGACAGCATGACGATCAGCAACAAGATGGAGACTTCAGTCCTGCAAGTGCACAGAACTGAATTCCACCAGCAACCTGCATGAGTGTGAAAGCAGATCCCTCCCGGGGCTTCCAGATAAAAGCCCAACCTGGCCAACACCTCAATTTCAGCTTTATGAGACCCTGAGCAAAGGATCTGTCCAAGCCTGCTGAGACTTACCACCTACAGAACTGTGAGGGTAATAAATGCGTACTCTACAAAGACACAAAATTTGCACTAATTCCTTACTCAGCAGTAGACAACTAATACATTACACCTGTGGAAGAACAGGAGTTATTACTCAGAAACACCAGTGTATCCCAACAGTGAATTCTTAGGCCAGAAAGTGTCATAAGGCATCCACTAGACACTTGCTTCAATTCCTAAACTCCAAAGGTGAGCTATTTATAAAGTACTGTAAGTGATGAAATGTCACACAGAGAGAAAAGCAACGTGTCACTGTGTATCAGTGGAGCTGGTGGAGTTGACTGGGTACTGGCTCAAAGGGCAGTGTCCAGGAAAGAACAAGCCTGCTCATGCTTCCATTTGACCCCCAAGAGGTACCTTTCTCCTGCATTCCCAGTGACATCCTGCACACCCTATTATCTTGGGCTGCATGCAGTCTTCTCCTGTGACTGGAGTGTAGATGCACTGGACTTCTTCACCCTCCCCACATTTGCTAAGTAGGTGGTANGGCTTCAAATGTCAACCACCAGGAGATACAGACCTATGTCTCAGGTACAGAACTATGCACAGGAGGCAGTGGTGGCATTTGTGGGCTTGCTCCCCCTACCATTCCTGGTAATGCTTCCAAAGCTCACTAAAGCACGTTGATTGTCACAGAGATGGAATATGGGCTAAACTGGGGAGGAAGTAGGAAAGAGGTCATACTGTGGAGTCAAGCTTAACCTATGTAAACCATGACAAAGCTGACTCAAGATATGGCATTTCTAGAAGCCTCCCCCCACACACTACCTACGACCTTGATACAGGTAGGCCTAGTTAGTCAAATTAGTTCTGTATTTACATCATCCTGGTGATCCCTGAAGATCACAATTACTAAAGGTAGGGGTGGGGACTCAGGACAGATGCATGTAAAATGAGACCACAAGAATTTCAATCATGCTGAGTTTTCCTCCACTAACTCATTCTTTCAAACACTTATTAGATACCTCCTTGTCTTCCAGGCAGTGTGCCAGGCCCAGGGAACTGAGAATCAGAGCCAGACACAGTCCTGGATCTCTGAAATTTCACAATCCACAGAAAAAATTTATCAGCTATAATGCAATATGTAAAGAGCCAACAAAAGAGGGATGTGCAGGGTTAGGACACCCACGAGGAAGCTGCTACTCCTGCCAGAGGAGATGACGGAGGACTTGACACAGGAAGTGACAGGCTGAGGATGACGGAAAGCATTCCAGGCAGAAGCACGGGCAGAAAGCATGTGCGGAGCCCGGCCTTGGGTTAGGGACTGACGAGGTGGTAGGGATATGTGGGGAAGGTGTGGGCAGGTGGAAG